GGGGACCGCCCTGGCAGCAGCCCCGGGGATGCCCTGCTTCACCTTAAAGCCGCGCTGGGAGCCTTGGGACGCCCCCTCCCACAGCCGGGCGGGGAACCGGGACCCCGCGCAGAGCAGCCTCCAGCATCTGTCCCTGCCCTGCAAGCACTGGCAGCGGGGAGACACCCCTAAGGCTTAGGGCATCCCCCCCGCCCGCCCCCCTTCCCCTGCAGCGCTGAGAGCCCGGAGCGTCCCAAGTGATCGCCAGCCAGGGTCCAGGGCGGGGTGAATACGGACCGGCCTAGACCGGACCTGGGAAGGGCCGGCTTCCTCCTGGCAACGTTGGCAGCCGAGGGCCGGCCTCCAGCCAGTGGTTGTAACCATGAAACCTGGGTACGCGGTGCTTATCTGAGGACCCGACAGGACCCCTGGCTTCGGTGCCCCCGACCAAGGGCCAGAAAGCCCAGCCTCGAGGGAAGCAGGGAGACACCGTTTCCTCTGCGTGAGGAGCCCCCAGCCTCTAGGGGTTTTAAGGTGCCACCAGCCTCCCCTTCCTGGAGCCAGAGGAAGACCCAGGCTGTAAAGTGATGTCAGCTCAGGGCCCAGCCACCCAGCAGTGACAGGTGCATCCAGAGCCCCGCCCTCCCGCCCTGCAGAGCCCAGATAGCGCTGGCTGCCCAGGGCTTGGGGCAGCGAGCAGCCCTGGGGGAGGGGGACAGGAGGGCTGGGACCTGTGGGCAGTGAGGGCCAGGAGGGCATGTCTGGGCAGTACAGGCAGAACCTTGAGACAGGCGGCTTGGGGTGCCAGAGTGAAGAGGCCACTGAGCCAGGAACCGGGGTGGAGAGGCCAGGGAGGGACTGGGGGGAGGAGTGGAACTCGACGTTTTCTGTAAACCCCAGTGCTCTAAAAATGTAACTTAGAGCCGGGCGGGTGCGGCTCAGCCGTTGAGCATCAACCCGTCGATGGGTTGCTGGTTCCATTCCCCATCCGGGCACATGCCCAGGTTGTGGTTGCAGGCTTGATCCCAGTAGGGGCGTGCAGGAGGCAGCAAGTGATGTTTCTCTCTTCCTCTCCCTTCCTCTCTGAAAAATCAATAAAAAACATTTAAAAATTAAAAAAAATAACTTATTAAAAGAACAAAGCCAATCTGGGACCCAGCTCCACAGCTTCAGCTTGGAGACCAGTCCCTTCTGCTCAGAGAGGAGCCCGCGGGCTGAAGGAGTCCGGCCAGCTGAGTCAGCTCTATCCCCCATGGCCCGGCTTCCCCAGGGGCTGCCCTGTCCTGGCCTCGGCTGGCCTGGCCCTGCTGTTCTCTCGCCACTCCTCCCTGTGCTCCTCCCTCCAAGACCAAGGGCTGAGGTCCCCGTCGGTCCATGCTTCACTGCCGACCTCTGTCTAATGCTCGTAACCCATAGACAGTGGGATGTGGTGTTCGCCCTGGCTGGGCACAGTGGGGTGCTCACCAGCACTGTGGGTTGAGCCCGAGATGCAGCAGAACCGAGCGCAGACCCAGCGTGGGGAGGCTTGGCCAGCAAGAGCTCCATCCTCCAAGTTACCATGGAACCAACCGATGGTCCCACAGCTACCCAGCCGCTGGGAGAAAGCTGGGGCACCTGCAGTGAAAAATGTTCCCCTGAATGCACGCAGGAGGGTCGACCACTCCTAACTCAGACCTGGCTGACCACCAGACCATGGCACCCCGACACTCGGCCCCAGACATTCCCAGGCCAGGAGGTGGGAGGGCTCAGCCGCCCCACCTTTCCTTCATTACTGCTCCCCCAGGGAGAAAAATGCTAAACTGACTGAAACCTAATTAATTGAATTAATTAATTAATTAGAATTTATTTTCCCCGTTGGGAGAGAACACAAGGGGAGACCTCAAACCACTGTAATTCTTCACATTTCCTTTGCTTCCCCTCCATGAGGGAGATGGGATTCCCCCCGCTGGGGAGAGTATCACCCCCTTGGAGAGAGCAGGGCTGAGGGCACCTGGGCAGACACAGGCCCACGACGCAGGGCTGGCAGTGCCCCCTGGGTTGCACAGTCCCCTCGTGACCTCGAGGCCGCCACAGGCCCCAGGTTGTGCAAAGCCAGCCCCAGGCTCCACACGACCCTTCCTGGGGTCCTGGGGGCCTGCGTTAAGGCTGCCCCTGCACAGTCTCCCAGTGCACCTGGAGGAGAGGGTGCGTTGCAAGGCTGCAAACTTCATTTTATACCGTTTTATGAGTGCAAATGACACACCTTTTGGGGATATATGAATGCATTGCTTTTCTTGTTTCTGGGTGCATTATGGGAAGGGCCACCAGCGCCACCAGAGGCTGCCCACCCTCCTGCTCCCTTAACGGAGAGGGAACTGGAAGGGAGGCACCAAGTGTCACATACTTGTCAGGAGGCACCTGGAGGGCTGAGTTGTGAACATACCTTTCATGTCCTGATGGCCTCAGCAGTGGCACCAATAGCCCACATGCCAGGGCTGCCTGCACCTAGGGCCACAGGAGGGAGGACGGGGAGTCCCCAGGGCAAATGTTCTCTCCCTGTGGGGCTAGGAGTCCGGGACCAAGTGTCGGGAGGTCCCCCTGAGGCTGAGGAGACAGCTCCAGGCCCCTCCCTGCCTCTGCAGAGTCCCCACCTGGGTGAGCCCTGGTTTGTGGAGCTTCGCTGCCTCCACCTGCACACGACCTTCTCCCTGTGTTCATGGCCCTGCCTCCTTCCCCGCGGGTGGGGCCAGGCCCACCTGATGACCTTGCTGTAACGTGCCTCTAACAGCGGTCACATTCCAAGATCCTGGGCTTTGGGCTTGAGCATCTCAGCACAGATGACATGGGATACGCAGGGTCACCCCCAGGGCTCGGGCCCCCGATCCACCTGCTCATCCCCATCATCGTGGTACTGCCTCACGTGTCCCCTACCCACACATCAGGCTTCCAGGAGCCAAGAGCACCGCCAGGGCCTGTCCCACTCGCTGTCCCCACGCACCCAGGACGTGGTGTGTGCTGGAGTTGGGCACTACACGGCCTCCTCCCATGGTCGAGGGGGGCTGTTTGGCTCCTCCATCCTCCTGGGCCAGCCTGTCCACCATCACTCAGACCGCCTGGGGTTGTGAGCCAGGACTGCGCTGTGGTTCCCCCTGAGCAAGCACAGGTTTGCTCCTGCCTGACTTGTCCTCACTCCGCATTCTCCATCCTACACCAACGCATGGCCGGCAACTGGGCCACGAAGGGGTGGACACTGCTTCCTGCCAGAGCCCATGCCGGCCCTGGGCTCTGCCCCTCATGGCGGGATGGGGAGAGCAGGGGGATGCCTCGGGATGGGTGTCAGTATGCGTGCCAAGACCCCGTCACCCCAAACCCAACCCTGGGGTCTCCAGGCCTGTGGTCAGGGCAGCCCTTTCTGGAACACTTGACTCTGGCCAGATGACCACAAGTAGCTCATGCCCAACTGCCCCTGGGACACAAATGACTCAGGCAAAACTGCTTGCTACCTCCCCTTCGTTAGGTCCTTCTGAATTTTGGAGGCAAAATGCTCTTGAAAAGGCTAAATTCTGTAGATGTGCCCGGGGGGCTGGGGACTGTACCTGTTGACCAGGGCAGACACTCCACATTTCTTTGGGGCCCATTTGACCTAAAACAGCCCCTCAGTTCCCGTGGGGAACCCGTGCAGGGAGGGCCACTCTGGGGGATATTCCAGTAGCCGCCAGGCCCCAAACCCCGTGTCATCCGCTGGAGAGGACGGCAGATGGCACCATGGAAGCCGCAGGGAGTGGATCCAGGTCCGAGCGCCAGCTGGCAGCTCCGGAGTCCCTGGTCCGGACACAGGAAGAAGCTGGGAGGCCTGGTCTTGTCTTCGTGCGGCTACAGGGCGTCTGTGCTTCATGGCCGAAGGGGGCGGCCCCAAGCCAGAGACCTCTGCTGTGCCCTGGTGTGAAAGGTACAGGATTGCTTCAACCAGAGCCACCACCCGGCTGCTCCGCCAGCGCCCAGTCCTGAAAAGCGGCTGCCTGGGTGCCCACGGGCCTGTCTTGCTGGGGACTGGCCGCCCCCAGGCAGCACTGCTGCTCCGGCCCCACCAGGCCTGCTTCTCCAGTCTGAGAAGCACCAAGCCCCAGGCCGTGCAGGTCAGGGCTGTAGCCCCCGCTACCAGCTGCCCCGCAGGCAAGGCAGGGCCCCAGGAGGAAACACACAGCAGGAAACCGCCTGCACGGCTCTCTCCACCACAGCTTCAGGGGCATCTGTCTTCACGAGGCTGCACGTCCTTGCGCAGTGGAGGGGGGGGAGCACCCTGCCCGGGCTCCCTGAGTGCAGGTGGGCAGGTGCGACTGCTCCCCAAGACAAGCTTCAAAACACACCTGACAACCAGCTCCTTTCAGCAGTAACGAGCAGATTCAAAACAGGGGGGACTTGCGTTCTCATTCTAAATTACGGGTAGTTTCTTTAAAGAGCGGCCGCCCCGGCCAAGGTCAGCTGGTTGGAGCATCGTCCAGATGCTCCCAAGTTGAACTTCAATCCCTGGTCAGGGCACTAGAGGAGTCAGCCAATGAATGCACAAGGAAGTGAACAACAAACCGATGTTTCTCTCACTACCTCTCTCTGAAATCAATAAACTAAATTTAAAAAAAGAAAGTGGCCAGAGGCAGCCGGGCGATGCTCCAACCCTGCCAACGCAGGCCTGGGTTGGGCACCCGGCTCCAGGGACCTCGAGGACAATGAAAACACAAGGTTCTGCCAACCCAACGTTGAAGTGGCGGCACCGAGCGCCCAGGTGAGTGTGAGCGCTCGAACTGCACTAAAAGGCAAACGTGCCACTTGCTGGTATGAATGATGACCAGGCTGCGGAGAAGGCAGGAGGGGAGTTTATTCGTGGAAGGAAGTCGCCCTGAACCCTCTGCCTGACCCAGTGCCTGTGCTAACACTGGGCAGGAACATGCGACCTCCAAAGGGTAGGTGCCGGGAGAGCCGCGCCCACGGGCCGTTCAAGCAGCGTTTCAGGAACCCAAAGGGGCCCCAGGGCACACCTCCCGCACAGCCCAGGTCTGTACACACTGGGGCTGGGCTGCACCTGGCGCACCAGGAACAGAGCATCTGCGCAGTGAGGTCAAAGCAGGACGATCAGGGCTGGGCGCAGGGGTGGGGGGCAGGGAGTGGGGGCGGGGCAGAAGCCCCTCCAGCCCTGGCCCCACCCCTCGCAGCCCACGGAGCCAGGGTCTTCACACTGTCCACAACTGGCGGAGAGTTCAAAGGGCCCCTCCCCGGGCCGCTGGGGCAGTGGAGATGCAGGCGCTGCCTACGTGCGGTTCATGGTCTGGAAGATCCGGGAGATCTGCAGCATGACCGGCCCCGTCTCTGGGTCGTTCATCCACTGGGTGCTGTTCAGGGGGTTCTCGAGCATGTCCTCAAACGCTGCGGGGACAGAGCCAGGTGGAGTGAGCCGCTGCCCCTCCACGCGCACACATGCACGCACACGCAATGTGTACACACTCATACGCACGCGCACACACACATGCACAATGTGTGCACACTCGCACACACAACACGTGTGTACAATGTGTACACATGCATAAACGCGCACACACATGAGCACACCCAACACACACACGCGTGCACGCGCTGGAGAAAATCTCCACAGCTTCTTAGTATAGACGCAGGCTGGGCACCCACTGAGACCCCCGGCCCCACCACAGTCTGACCTGCTGTCACACCAGCAGCTCTGCGGTCAGAGGGCAGCGACCCAGCTCTGCAGGGAGCCCGGGCCTGTGTGCTCACCGGACTCCAAGTCTGGAAAGCAATTTGGCAACAGCTACCAGGAATCTTAAAAATAGTCAGGCCGTGACTCAGTAATTCCAGTTCCAATCGGATGGGAAAGGACTTACATATACAGACACTGTTGCATGTGTGATAGCATCACGTTGGAAAACTGTGAGTGTTCATCTCAGGAAGGTGACTTTAGAGAAACAGCACATTAACAATGCACCTGAGCCGCTCTTTAACATGAGAGCTCTGAGCTAAAGTTTTGCCAAATTGTTTTCTCCAAAACCACAGGTGCCTCCAGCAAAAGCTTAGGCCACAGCAGCCCTGGCCCCGGGGAGATGGGTCAGACCCTGTCCCCCAGTGCTCGCGCGCGCCCCCCTCAGATCAATAAATGTGTTCTCAGGTTTGAAAAATAAAATAAAATAAAATTGTTTTAAAATATAAATAAGCAAAAATATCAGGCAAGTCTGAACAGGAGCCTGGGGGAAGCCGTGTGCTGGGGCGCAGAGCCCGGCTCAGGTCCACGGACCTGGAGCCACAA